GATAAAGTTCCTTTACCATGTATGTATAGCATAGAGTTTACTCCCTATTATATAACTTGCCATCTCACTATATTGAATATTTTAGATTATTTTCATGTAGGGCAATTTTACATTTTAATTTCATTTTCATTGTTTTAGTTTTTCTTTTATTCTTTTTCTTTTTTCTTTTTTGTTTTAGTATTTCTTGTGTTCTAGAGAAATCTTGGTTTGCCTTTAAGAAAGTGTTAGCATATTTTTCTGGGTATTTTTTTCAGTGTTATTGTAACTTTTACATTCAGCTCTACAATTCCAACTATAAATAATTTTTGTGTATAGTATAGATATGGGTTTAAGATTCCCTATTTTCCATTTGTTTGTTTTTGTTTTGTGGGCCACACTGTCTGTGCCTGGAGCTTGCTCCTGTCTGTGTGTTCACTCAGGTATCACTCCTGTCAGGACTCAAGGGACCAAGTGTGGTGCATGGGATTGAACCCAGGTCAGCCGCATGCACGGCAAGTGCCCTACCCACTAAACCATCTCTCTGACCCCCTATTTTCCATTTGGATAACCAACTAACATGCAGTACTATGTCATCTCCATTTTATAGTCACTTTCATTTCAGAGGCTGTTCTGTCCCTCTGTACTACTCCACTGAAAATTGTTTTCTTGGTGGGGGAGGGAGCTCCCTTCTTTTGGCGGTCAGTGTAGAGTGAGGGTGCTCAGCCCAACACTGTCATTTCATTGTTTGGGTCAACAGTGCAGGACTATTCATGCCCAGTGTTGCCACTTTTTTTTCCCTTTGTTTTTAAGCAGTGTGGTATACTGTGAGGAAATCATAAGAGTTAAATGGATTCATTTATTCAAGATGTTCTATGGAGCAGTATTAAGGCATTTATCCTTAAACCAGAAAATGTTACCATATTATCAGTAACAGAGCCAAGCATTGTCCAAATCTGGCTTTCAAACATATGGAGGATTTGGGGGCTAGGGGGAGGAGAGTTAGGAACACATCCAGTGGTGCTCAGGGCTTACTTACTGCTGGCTGCGTGCTCAGGGGCCACTCTTGATGGTGCTCAGGAGAATTTTTATGGTGCCAGGGATCAAACCCATGACAGCTGTGTTCAAGGAAATCTCTTTACCTACTGTATTATCTCTCTGCCCCACCCCCGGAGAATTTTTTTAACCTTCATTTTTTTTAGTTATATTTACCAGTAAATGTTGTGTGATCATGTATGCATATATAAATATAAATTTATATATTTACATATACACGTATGTTACTGCATTAATATTGCATTTTACTATAAAATACATTGAAAATGGGAATTAAAAGTAAATCAGAATTAGAAATTTTAATAGTTTTCCTCCTATACCCATGGTTTAACTAAGATAAGTTAGATTATATATAGTAATTTACCCTCAAATTCAGTGACTTTAAACAACACCAGTTTCTTTTCTCTCTGCTCCATATCCATTATGGTTTTACACAGCACTCTTCTGCATTCTCTTGTTCTGGCATGCAAACTTAAAAAGAAGTCACTGTCTAGAAAACTCACTGCTTACAAGGACAAAGAACAAGATAATGGGAAATTTTCACTTAAAGCTTCTGCCTAGATACAACACTTCTGACTAGTCCACTTGTGCTCAAGTTTCACTGTCTAATACAAATCACATATATTCACCTAGTTGCTAGGGAAAATCTTGACCTTATGTCCAGAAAAGTTGTAAATGTTTTAGGTAGATTTAACAGGTATCACTTCTTTTGCTACTAACAGATTTAATTAAATGTATGTGTTTATTTACTTCGGGTTTGAAACCACACCCAGTGCTGCTCAGGGCTTACTGCTAGCTCTGTGCTCAGGAATCACTCCTGGCAGTGCTTGGGGGACCATATGAGATGTTGAGGATTGAGTCCAGTTCAGCCACGTGCAGTGCAAGCACCCTACCAGCTGTACTATTGCTCTGGCCCTTACTTAGAGATTATAGGGAACTCAACTCTGGGTTTGTATTTGTTTAAGAAAGGAACACACCTGCTCAAGTTCTTTTAGTTATTTTCGCTTAATAGTATTTTTTTAAGATGCTAAAATCCAGATAGGTGTGTTTTCTGTAACTGTAGGTACAGTGGTCTCTCTGATTTAAAATCTTTATTTAATGAATTCTCTTTGCACTCATATAACAGACCCCTAGCATGGCCCCAAGGCTATCTTTCCAGCCTTCTCTTCCCCCCTACACATATCCCTCACCCATACTGGCCTTTCAGTTCCTTGAAGGAGACAGTGCTTTCTTCTTCTATCTTAAACACTTTCCCCCTGTGTTTTCACCTCCTTAATCTTTAACTTTTAGGTCAGATACTTTCCCAGGGAAATCTTTGTTTCCCAGAGTAGGTAAGAGTTCTTGCTGCTATACAGTCTTAATGCTCTTTACTTTGCTTCCAGAAGCACTGTTCCATTTTGTGTTTTACACTGTTTGTCCAGTCTTTTTATCCAATTACAGTTCTGAACAGTGTCCCAAGGTGGGAAAGATTCATCTTGTTTTGTTTACTGCTATATGCTATTCCGTGAGTTTAGTTACTGGCATAAAGGAGCTCATTAAATATTGAGTTTGGGGATAGCCTTTTGTCTGTTAGATTTATATAGCCTGCATAAAAATGTCTGGTACATTTATATAATCCACAGAGAGCAAGTAATAACTGGTGGTAATAAGTTAATTATACGAACTGAAAATGCATTCTTGTTCCCTGCCTCTGTGTCTTGAGGCATCTAAGAGATTTCAAAATAGAGTGCTTTTCTCATTCTCTCTGCCTTGATATAGACCCTCACTAGTTTATTGCATTACCTAAGTATTTTTCTTTTTCCTGTTTTTTGAGTTATTTTTATGTTTGAGTAGAAAGCCCTACAGACAGGAAATATTTCACACTTAACATAAATGGCAGTAAAACTGCCCAAGCAGTGAAGGTGTTATATAGACATGGAGAATAAACAAATAAGTTATTTGATACTAAGCTGTGTTTTCTTCCAGCATTCTGAAGGTGGTACTGCATTACCAAAACACAGCACGATTTATTTTTTGTGGTACACATCAGCAAAAGAGCATATATTTGATGCTTGAAAATTCTTGGCTATAAATTTATGTCTCTCACTATTTATCTTCATTTATGTATGGGAAACTTTAGTCTTTTCTAAGGTTTCTCTTTTTCAGAAAGAACAACAAATGTGATCCCCCTCTTGTTTCTGTTTTATCGTGAACTTTCAGTGCTGTTCTTCATTATTGCAAGTGTCCTAATGGAGGTATCTCTAATAATGCTAACTTTGTTGGCAGAATTTATCAGAGCATACAGTCATTGTTATTTCTGTCTCTACGTTTTTATTCCTCATTTTTATTCTAGAAAAGTTTCATCAAGAAGAAATGGAATTAAGAAGAATATAAATAAGGATTACATCTATATAGTCTCTATTCAACTAATATTGACCACTGTCACTGCCCTCCCATTGTTCATCGGTTTGCTCTAGCGGGTCCATTAACATCTCCATTGTGACACTTGTTATTGTGTTTGACATATCAAATACATCATGGGTAGCTTTCCAGGCTTTTCCATGTGGGAGAGATACTCTCAGTAGCTTGCTGTGCTCTCTTGAGAGGGGCAAAGGAATTGAAGCTGGGTCAGCCGACTCGGCCAGGTCAGCCGCGTGCAAGGCAAGCGCCCTACCGGCTGTGCTATTGCTCCAGCACCAACTAATATTGATGAAATAACTATTTTATGCCAAAAGCTAGGGAAACTGAGAAAGATGGACACTTTCTAGGAGATTTAAATTTTTTCTATCAACAGTAGCATTTTGATTAAAGTTGGACTTCAGTCTTTTACGCTAGGTAAGTTCATTTTTTCGACAATAGAATGTAATAGATAAAATATCCCCCTTGTAAGGTTCTTGTGAAGAGTAAATAAAGCCTTATCCTAGTTTCTGATATATAATAAACACTCAATATATGCTACCAGTTAGCTTTTTTGTTTTTAGCTTTTTGGATCACACCCAGTGATGCTCAGGGGTTATTTCTGGCTCTACATTCAGGAATTACTCCTGGCAGTGATTGGGGGCCCATATGGGATGCCGGGGATCAAAACCTGGTCGGATGCTTGCAAGACAAATGCCCTCCTTGCTGTACTATCACTCCGCTCTCTCCCCCCAGTAGCTTATTACTTATTACTTATTTATTTTGCCGTGTCTCTTCCCACTTCTCTTTTCCAAATTGCTGTCATAGCTAAATGACATAGCTACCTCTTTAATACCATCTTTTCAGTGCTTGGGCCAGGAAGATAGCACAGATGCTGTGTGAGGTCCTAAATTTCATCACTGGTAGACATGGTTCTGGTAGCCCCTCAGTACTGCCAGGTGTTACCCTGATTTTTAAAATATGATTTTTGTGGTTTTCTGCTTATTCAAAAAGAAGATTTTAAATATGCGGATGGCATTTACCACCTTACTATCTAATCTTGGCCTTTTTTAAACTATCTTCTTCTCTGACTCCTCATTACCTTGTTGCTCAAATAGGCCATCAGAAATGTTTTACTGCCTTGCCTTTGTTTTTTTCTTCTGCCTAGAATTTTTCTGTAGGCCTCAACTCCTTTTCTTACCCTCAACCTTAAAGAACCAGTTTTCACCAAGCAACCCAGAGATTTCTCTTTTGTGACAAGAGAAATCTTTTTTTTTTTAATCCTTATCATTTATCTCTTTGGTGTGTATCATATTATTAAATTAATTACTTTGTCTTTCTGTCCAGCTAGTGAGTACCTTTAGAGCAAAGACCATGACCATAATATAGTCAGCACTCCTGGAATTATGGCTCAGTAGTAGAGCACTTGCCTTATAGTTGTGAAGCCCTAAGTTCAATCCCCAGAACCACATAAGAAAATATATTTACCATTATATCACTATAACCCATTAGGCACTCAGTAAAAACTTACTGAATGACCAGGTTGAAATTTGGTATAACCTTATTTTAATTTCAGTGTATTTTTCTTACAGGTTTTGGGCCTTGTCCAAAATATGAGCGTTTTCCAGTGCCCAAAATGTCAACACAAAACTCATATTTTTGGTGCTGATGGTGCAAGAAAACTAGCACAGACCCTTGATCTTGATGTTCTGGGTAAGGCCATATGGGATATTCTGTTACAGAGAAAATGGCAGAAGGGGAAGTACACAAGGGCATGGTGATAGAGTGTCTCTGAAAGTGATGAACTGCTTTTTTATTTTTCTGAGCAAGATATTTTTTATTGAAACTTATTTAGAAAGATGTAAGGGGAGGAAAGAGTACATGTCTGAGAGAACACAAGCTTCTTCAGAGCAGAAATTAAGAAAGCAAAGAAGCACAGAGACAGTCAAGCAAGCTGTACATTCAAAAGAAAGCATAGGCTTCAAGAGAAAGCCAGTGATGAACTGCTTTTGACTTTTTGCTCTAAATTAAGTTGATATAGAACATTTCTGTGTACTAATCTTTTTTTTTATCTTTTTAGAATTCATTCATAGAAAGGTTTTTTTTAAATAGATAACTTGTTCTTCCCTTATTGGTAACTTCTTCTATAGATTTAAAATCTGCCTATAACTTGAGTTTAAGAAGAGTGCTTTTTTACTCTGATCCTAGGACTTAAAGACTGTGGGGGCTGTGTGCAAAGCAAACACCTTACCCACTATTATTTCTGGGATCCTGAAGCGTATGTTTTAAATAATCATAGAGCCAGGAATAAGCCCTGAATACCACTGGATGTGGTCCCCAAACAGACAAAACATGCAAAAAGCCTGTTCAGTGGGTTGGAATAACCTTTGAAAGTGTCCATTATTGGCACATGATAAAAATGCCTTTCTGGTCGGTTTCGAATTTAACAGTTTTTCTGCTCTAGAAAGACAATATATATTATGATTTCTATAATCTTTTAATTTTTTTCATATCTATAAGATATGGCACCTGACAATTACATTATATTTACTGTTTATATTGTAGCACTGTCCTCCCATGGTTCATCGATTTGCTCAAGTGGGCCCAGTAACGTCTCCATTGTGAGACTTGTTGTTACTGTGCTTGGCATATTGAATACATCACGGGTAACTTGCCAGGCTTTGCCGTGCGGGCAAGATACTCTCGGTAGCTTGCCAAGCTCTCCAAGAGGGGTGGAGGAATTGAACCCGGGTCTGCCAGGTCGGCCGCGTGCAAGGCAAATGCCCTACCCGCTGGGCTATCGCTTCAGCCCACCATTTATATTATTAAATTGAAAAATTAGTTTTACAAATAAAACTATAATTATGTGTATGTGAGCAAGACAGATTTTTGGTTGAATCATGATTTTTTTTAAAAAATGAACAAACAACTTAATGAACTGTTTAGAAAGCATGTTTTGATAGTCTACTTAGGAATGAGTTTTGTTCTGGGTTAAAGACAGATATCATATGCTGAGTAGGGAAAACACAATGAAGTCTTAGTTTTAGGTAGTTAACCATAACATCCCTTAGAGATCAAGGAATTTCAAAACATTTTTTATTATAATTAAGTTTTTGAAAGTTTGTGTTAAAGGTATTGTTGTTATGCATTTGCACTACAGCAGCCACCACAACACCAGGTGAATACTAATGACATATTTTAATACATTACTATAATTACAGCTACTAATTATATTCTGCAATTGTTTTCATTTAACTAACTCAGAAAGCTCAATTTCCCAAATTTGCATAATAACATAACAGATTGACATTCACTTATGTAATAAAGTAAATGTGTAATTATAAGTCCATTATTGAATTATGTTGGAAATATTACAATTACATAATTTATAAATGGCTGGAATAATTGTATCAGTTGGTTTTATAATTTGAAATATTTCCTAGAGAAAGTTTCACATGTGAAAGTTATATTTGAACTAAGAGCTCACAAATGAATAATATTCTAAGGATGTATTAGAAACATTAATTACTGATCTTAAAAACTACATAGTGCAATGGATAGCTATGTCTAAAAGCAATATGAGGAAAATAATGTAAAGTTCCAGTTCAAGACTCATGTCTCTTTTGAGTGCATTCATGGGTTTTCTGCAGGATCACCCAGGAACATGAGTTTTGAGTTCCAGTCATAAAGAGGTTGGAAGTGGGAATAAGGAAGGGAAGTCAGGGGAAGGATTCTCTCAGCTATGGCCTCGTGGCTGGTTCAACCTCCTGTCACTGTCCTCCCATTGTTCATCGATTTGCTCGAGCAGGCCCAGTAACATATCCTTTGTGAGACTTGTTATTACTGTGTTTGGCATATCAAAGATGTAACGGGTAGCTTGCCAGGCTTTGCCCTGCGGGTGAGATACTCTTGGTAGCTTGCCGGACTCTCTGAGAGGGGCAGAGGAATCGAAACTGGGTCTATGCGGTCGGCCCCGTGCAAGGCAAACACCCTACCCGCTGTGCTATCGCTCCAGCCCGATTCAACCTCCTAGGAATCCTTATTAGCCCTTGTTAGCCAGATTCCCTGGCTATCTTTTAATTTAATTTCATCCACTATTCTGATCTTTTAAATGATTATTTGGTAAAATGGTTGCTTAGAACTTTATCTGTATTTCCCTACAGTGGCAGTTTAAGTGTAGTGGTCAATGTCTCAGATTGTTTCACAGGAATACTTCAGTGTACACCTCTGAATTGTGTTCTCACTTCCTTCAGACTTAGCCCCTCAAAGGGCTGGTACTTCCTGGCGAGGCTGCTCCTAACCCACTTTACTCCCTTTTGTCTCTTCTGCATACAATTGCTAGCTCATTGCCAATCTCCTGCCACCTGTTTTCTCACAAGGTTTCCCTCTTTCTTGGTCTCCTCTTTTATGGCTGTAGGTAGAATTGTAAGATTTTTGAAACAGAGGAAAATGGATAGGTAGCTTCCCAAAGGACTTTTTAACTTTTTTTCCCCTTCCATTACTGCAGTTAAATGAAAGATTTCAGGATTCTTTGCTATAATGATACTTCATAAATCAAGAGAAAAAAATCTCTACAGATTTAAAAATATTTTCTATACTTAATAATAGTTTCCCTTGCTCACCCTTTTTATAGCCTCCTGTAGTTTTATGTAGATCTATTAGACCTCATATTTGCTGAGAATGTTATCAACAAATAACTATTGAAATATTCATAGCTTGTCATTTGGTCATTTGACCATTGAACATTGTCAAGAAAAGATTTAAAGAGTTAATTATAATCTCAAAATTGGCTGACAAGAACATCAAATATCAGTTCTTTGTACTTCATAGTATTAGTTGTTAATAGTCTTATATTTCATAATATGTACCTTGTGCATTATTGACATTGACTGGTATGGTACTGGCATAGTATCTTAAAACACAAACATGTTTCCATAACTTTAGTACAGATTTGAAATGATTCTAAAAATACTAAGCACCTTGACAAGTCACTTCTACTTTTTTTCACTGAAGATTTAATTTTTTAGACTTAAATCTGTCTTTTGAAAAACTTTATTGTAGTGTGATAGAATCTACTCAATGGTGGATACAAGTATCAGTTTCCCTCTAAATCTCATCTTATAATCAGTGTGGGACCTGGGAGATAGCTTAGTGATGTAGAGTGCCTACATTTTGAGCTTCAGGCTTTGAGGTCAATCTCTGGTGCTCCCACCTGTGCCAAGCACTATCCTGGTAGTGCTGCTGTTTGTGATTCCTCAGCATTAAAAGTTATTTCCAGCTGCACCACATCTGGGTGTCTGTGACACCACAACTAAAGGAGTGCAGTCCTCAGGGAGCACCACAGCCCGGGGCAAGCACCACACTCTGATGTGCAGCCTCTAGTGAACACCATAGGTTGGTGTGTGTGTGTGTGTGTGTGTGTGTGTGTGTGTGTGTGTGAGTAACACCTGCTCCCAGCACTAAAAACAAAGGTGGGGAGGTGGTGTACAAACGGATGAACCTCTGTGACCTCAAATGTGTACATTAGAGAATCTTACTGGATGCTGCGATCTCATCAGGCTCTAACCAAGTTACGCATGGTTTAATATAGACTAATACATAATAAAAGAAAAAAATGTCTGCACAATAAACATGTATGAAGTGGAGGAAACAGGTCTGGTTTGTTTCAGCAGTTCTCTTAGCTCACACAGTGCCAACAATAAGAAGATTACATTGTACTTTTTTTTTTAACTACTTTGTCTCCCCATCTTTTCCTCTTCAATTTCCTCTTAGTATGTGGTATAAATCAGACATTAAAGAGAAAAATAATATACAAATGCCTTCCAAGCCATTTCTTTCTGGATGACCTCCAGCGCTGAATAAATCAGAGACCTTTATCCCTTGATTAGCTGTCACATAACTTCTATTTTTACATATACAGTCACTATACTACCCTCAAATGGAATAGGTTACTCCTAATTTCATTTGAAATACTTTTGAGATTTAGAAATTTGAAGATTGTCATAACTCAAGTTGATTTGAATTAATTTACTTTAGTTTTTGTTTCTTTCTGAAATTCAAATAATGAAACTCTAAATGCCTATATAAACTTTTGTAGTACTAATGGGTATCTGTGAATTTCTTAGGAGACATTCCATTACATCTTAATATAAGGGAAGCTTCGGATGTAGGCCAGCCAATTGTGTTTTCACAGCCTGAAAGTGAAGAGGTAAGTTTTCTTTTTAAATATGCATTTTTATAGGTGATATATACCCTATAACATATTAGAGTTATTATATTATTGCACAGAGTTGAAAAAATAAAAATTCTCTTGCAGTTCATATATATCAAAGATTAGCTAACATATTTATGTTATTAAATTAGTTGTACAGTAAACATGCCAATGTTTGTTCTGAATTATCAACTAAACAAGTTGACCTACAGTCAGTCTTTAACCACCAAGATAATTAAAATGCTGATAGTGAGAATTTGTGATATTTTTATATTCCTGGTTAAATGATTTAACTTTCCAAGGTTATTATATGTAAATATTAGAAGTTCAGCTGATTGTTGGGAGAAGTGAACCTAGTGTAACTAAGTCTTATGTTGGATTTTTGGGAAATAGTACCATTAGTGATATAACTTTTATTGCCTTTGTTTTTATAAACATAATTGGGGAGGTAAGGTGAAAAAAATGGTGTTTCATTAACCAACAAAATTATTACATAGTTGAGAAATTTTCAAGATTTCTGACACTTTATGACCTGAAGTATAAAAATCTCTTAACTCTTTCTAGTAAGAAAATAAAATCAATCACAGCATTTATATTTAGTAAAGTTAGGAACTGAGCCATCATGTGTTGTATCAGTTTTGATGTCATTTTTGTGCTCTTTGCTGAGTTTCAATTTCCTAATGGCTTCCCCCCCTCCCCGCTCACCCCCCACAACCCTATTTAACAGGCATAACTTTATCATTGTGTATATTTTTCCATTCATAACAACTTTTATTATATTGTTATGAATGGATAAAGTTTATTTTATTATAGTTTGCTTCCTCTGAAGTATTCTCTGGTTTGTATTGTTTTTTTTGGTGTTTTTCTGTTTTGTTTTGTTTTTGCCACTTCCTGAAAGAGCTGAGGGCTTATTCCTAGTCCTGTGCTCAGGATAGAAAGTACTAAAAATGGAAGATGGTCCTTAGAAAGCAGTTAGGGCAAGTGTTGAGTTAATTTGTAGTGTTACTCGGGCAGCAAGATCATAGTGTCAACCCCACCATCTGGGACACCAAATGAGAGGAAAAAATTAATTTAGAAATTTTTTAAAGTTAAAACATGAGCTATTTTATTGTGATTTATTATGAGTAAGAGTAACTGCATATGGCAAGGGATATGTCTTCATGATAGAGTGTAGACCTTGCACACCTGGAGCCCTCAGTTCAATCCTTGGTACCAAGAAATAAATGGAAAAACTGCTTACTAGTTTATTTCAACTTGCATTAAAATTTTAAAAATTCTTTCTGCCCTCCTAGAGAATCTGAAGTACCTCTGAGATTCTCCACAGCAAGAAGTATTTCAAGGAAGTTAAAGGAATATAATATAATAAAGAACATATGGAAGTCATCAAAAGACACTTTGATTTAAAACTCTAAGCAGGTGTCTATAGTTTTTTGAGTTACATGTTTTTAAAATATCATTAACAAGGGCCAGAGCAATAGTCCAGCAGGTATATATACAATACATTTGCATAAACATTAGGCCTGTTCTTTCCTTGTTTTAATATTTGTCATTTGGGTCCCTTATTTACAGTAGTGTTGGCTCTAGTGGTTTAGATATTTACCAGTTGTTGCTGGGTGACATTTGTGAGCACTTGATGAGCCTAATCCTTTGTGGTTTGCACTGGATTTGGTTTGGTGAGGTCTCTGCCTTGTAAAATGATAGGATATTGTAAAAAAAAAAATTTAAAAACCAAAAAACTCCATGATAGAAACACCTCACCAAGAATAATTTTACCATTACTATACTATTATTCAGATTTGAAGAAATGATACAGAGCTTCACAGATAAGCAACAGCTCAGGAACTTCGTAACCTTGAAACCAACTTTGCAAGAAGCATAGAAAGGGCATTTTTAAGGCTAGGCACACTTTACAAACATTCATGATTCCTACATAGTGATGTCAAAAAAATTCCTTTATGTCAGTAATCTAATTCGGTATCAATGGCCTAAATATACCAATCAAAAGACATAGAGTGACACAGTAGATTCATAAAGGAAATCCAACTTTCTGTCTACAGGAGACATATTTGGACAGAGTAAGCATGGACTCCAAGTCCAAGGTTGTAAAACAATATTTCCAGCAAATAATTCCCTTCAAAAGGGATATCCTTACTTATATCAGACAAAATGGACTTGAAGTTTAAAAACGTTTTAAATACAGGGATAGTCATTCCTTAATGATCAAGAATTAGATACACCATGAAAACCTCACACCCCTAAACATTCATGTACCTAATGATGGATCACAAAATATTAAAACACCTACTAACAGACTCGAGGAAGATATTGACAGCTACACAATAGTAATTGGAGACCAGAGCACCAACCTAGCACCTCTGGATAGATCAACCAAACTAAAATTCAATAAGGACACAATGGCTTTGAAGAAAGAAGTGGAAAAGATGGCTCTATCAGACATACATATGACACTACATCCCCCTAAAGTCTAATATACATTCTTCTAACAAACAAATCTATAGAAGACCCGTAAAGCACTTTCTATCAAGTCGGTGTAAATAGATCTCAAACAGTTCTTTTCCTCTGCAGTCTAAAAGTTGGTCAGTTGCTCAGGGCTGAGGCCATAGCTCAGCAATAGAGCACTGGCCTTGCATGAGTGAGTCTCTAGGTTCCATTTCCAGCACCAGGGGGGTGGGGGGGGTTAGTCTTCTACCAAATTTTAGCTATTAATAATTAGGAGTATGTTAGTGTCCCCCTATGACTAATTTTAGAGAATCCCACACAGAATAACCTCTCCTATATGAAACATATAAAGAAACATGATGGTGTAATAATAAATACCCAGAGGTAATGGGGGCAGAGAACATGAGAACTGATATTCAGTAGGGAACAAGCCACCTATGGTGCTGGGGAATAGGCCAGGAAGGGGGCAACATCTGTGGGAGAGGGAAGATCAACTGAGAGGAGGAGGCAGTGAAAGGTGATTCAGTGTTCTGTATGAAAGCTTATCAGCAGTAATATAGCAAACCAGTGCAAAACATAGAAGAAGCCAATTGGTGGATGGGAGGCAAATGGAGGTGGGGTATTGGTGGAGGGACATGGACACTGTGAAGGGGTCATCAGTGTTGAAATTCCTGAAACCCAATCATGAATAACTTTGTACTTTGAAATGACTAAATTTGAAAAAAAAAAACAGGAGTATCAATAGTAGTTAAGTAGTAGTAGCTATATTTTAGCAGGAGGAGGAGGTATACAATTCTAAATAAATATAAAAATATATTTAATACATTGAATTAATTATAAGCAAATTATAGATGGACAGATTTTTAGTTTTAGAAAACTCATTGTCTTAGTTACATTCTTTAAAAAAAAAAATTTATGCACCTGGGTTACGCAGTTGTTGATGATCCCACTACCGGTGTCTTCATCCTTCTGCCAATGAACCCAGGTTCCCTCCCACGCTCCAATCTATCTTCTCTATGGGCACATTTCAAAGTTTAATTATTGTGGTTTGGGCCCCATGTTTACAGTAGTTTTGGCCCAAGTGGTTTAGATTTTTACCAATCCTTCATCCTACACCACAGGTGAGTCCAGGCCCCTGAACCTTGCCCCCATATGAATTCCAAATTTCCTCTTCTTGCTTCCTCCCTCCATTTCTCTTCTTTCTTAGCCAAATTGAGGTAAAAATGAGTATCACCTCACACCAGCAAGAATGACATATATCAAAATGTCTAGAAACAACCTGTGTTTGGGGAGTGCATTGAAAAAGAAACCCTCATTTACTGCTGATTGGAATATTTTCAGGCTCAGCCCATATGAAAAAAGCACGGAGATTCCTCAAAGAAGCAAGAATAGAGTTTTCATATGACCCAGCAATTACAGTTACTTTTTATAGATTACCTAAGGAAAACAAGTAATATTTGCATTTCAGTGCTTAAAACCCTTAAAATGCAAATGCTGTGACCATTATTCCAAGTGAACCTGCAGTTGAGGGTTCTTGTGTGACCCTCTCATTGGGTGGGGGCTGCTCATAATGTGCATCTTCTCTGGGGGGGGGGGTATCAGAGCTGAGGAGGGTAACACCTGTTTCCATCAGGTCTCACATGGTACCCAAATTCTCCAGGGAAAGAATCCTATAAGTTATCATTGGGATTGGGGCCACTCCCAGCTGTGCTTCTGGCTCTGCACTCAGGAATCATTCTTGGCAGGACTTGGAACCATGTGCCATAGCCATATCAGGGTTTGAACCTGGGTTGTCTGCTGTACGATCATTCCACGCACTCTCCCACCTCGTGCCCCGTAAGTTATTGGTGATGGAATTATACTCAGTTCTCAGGAATGAAGAAAATTCATTCCAAAGATGACCCAGAGGTTACCATAATGTGGTAATAAATTTTCCTCTTTAAAATGACTAAGAGCTTCTACACCACAGAAGTTTTGGCAATATCTAACTCAGGATCTCAGTTTGTTAGAGGAATAAGGTGTAATTTTTCTGTAGCTAGACTAGGTCGCCAGTTTGATGACAGGGAAATTAGAGATTGAAGAATAGTAATTGCTGGTACTAAATATTTTTTTTCCAGAAATTACTATTCTTCACTTGCTCAGTAGCTGCCCTCCAAAAGATCTACAATGCTTTTTCCCTGTCTGCAAGATACACAGAAACATTTTTTCACTGCTGAATTTCTCATCTCACTCAGACTTTTACGATTAAATTCAGAGCACAGCTATGGCAAACAGTTTGTGAGTCATCTGGTGTCTACTGTGGAGCATTAGAGGACAAACGTGTCTGTTCTTTTCCAGGCCAAAGCATATCTGAATGTTGCTGCAGAAGTGGTAAGAAGATTGCCCCCCCTCTAGAGGGAATCTGAGAGTGTCCTGGAAATAGCCTGCTGCTTGACAACATCACCCAGTAATCAGCAGTGTCATGGTGAAATCTGTAGGAATAATAGCAATCATGGTTATTTTCTTGTGTTTCTTAGTTTCAGATTTGATTTGCTAAACAATGCTCACAAATAAAGTTTTTTATTAGCGATAACTGCTACATTTAGGATTTTTTTGAAAGCTTCTGTGTACAAGATCAGCAGAAATTCATTTTATTTTATTGAACTACTTCAGGGAACATGAGTTTGTATTACAAGTCAACCATGAGTTCAGAAGAAAACTGAAATCTTTTTACAAGACATGAATTTGTCATTTAAAAGACATACTTGATTTCAGATTGGAAAGATAGTAAATGAGTAGGATGCTTGCCTTACATGTGGCCAACCCAGATTCAAAAGCTGGAAACAAAGTTAGTCCCCAGAGCCCTGCCAGGAGTGATCCCTGAGCACAGGGCCAGGAGTAAACCCTGAGCATCACCAGGTATCACCCAAAACCATAAATAAATAAATAAATAAATAAATGGGATACTAAATTTGAGTAAGAACAATGTTTCCAACATGCATTTTAATCTGGATTTGGATCATACCTCTGATACTATCTTGAGTACATTCTTAATAGTGTTAAGCTTGGATTGGGTATGTAGTTCAACAATAGATCACTTAGTGCCTCATGTGTGTAAGGCCCCGGGTTCCATCCCCAGTTATAAAATTTCAGAACTGGTAAGACTTTGTTAATTAGTTAATCCTTAGTTATAAGGAAGTGATTCATGACTTTGGAAAATGCTTGGATGTCATTTTCCCTGTAGTCAAGCAGTCAGAATGGTAGTAAATGAGGTAGGAAATGAGTTATATGTCATTATAATGTTTTTATATAATTCTATTTATATGAAAATTTGTACATGAATGTTTACAGCAACTTTACTTTCAGTTGGCCAAAAGCAACCATGATTTTTTCAATAGGGGAATGGTTAAATGAGCTATGGTAAAACCATATTTTGAAGTACTACCACTCAGCAATAAAAAAAGAACAAATTATGGCTATATGCAGCAACCTGTGGGAATTCCAGAGAATTAACCTGGAATGAAGAAGCCAATCCCAAAAGGTTATGTACTATCTAGTTCTATTCTTGAAATAACAAAATTACGGAAATAGAAAATTCGTGGTTTCAAAAGTCTCAGGACCATCTGAAAATTTGTGATTTCCAGTGGCCAAGGAGGGCTTTGGGGTGGAAGGATTGTTGTGTGGCTCTAAAGCTGGAGGGATCCTTGTGATAATGGAAATCATTTGTATCATGACTATATCCGTGGATTAAGGTATTATATTACAGTTTTATGAGATATTTCCATTGGGATAAGTTGAAAAAAGGGCACAACAAAGACCCTCTATGTTGTTATTTCTTATGATTGCATGTGAACCTCCAGTTATTTAAAAATAAAAATTAAATTTTAATAGAAAAAAATTGCTCTTGTATCCAGACTAAAAATTTTCCCAGCAAGCTATTCATACTAATTATAATCATAGATACAAGTAATTGTGGACACACATTAACCATCATTCATTGTTCTCTGAAGGAAACAATGACTTAAGTTGTAGATATTTAGTTGTGTTTTTATTGTATGGAGGATGAAACCAATATAGATAATCACTGAAAATTTGTAAATATCAAAATGCAGTAAACCACACCTGACTTTACCCTGAAAAGAGGATGAGTTAGGTAATCTCCAAAGATACTTAAAGCTTGTGTCATAACTTAATACATCTTCAGAAAAGGTGCTCATAAATACACAAGTTAGAGACGACACCTGCTATGCTTTGCAAGTGCTTTGAGGAATGCCAGTAAAACAGTGGTGGTTGCGGTGTATAAGCAGGTTCAGAAGTGGAGGAAGGGAAATTGCTGTAAGAGCAAGAATGAAGATTATTCTAAGATTTTGCCTGTGGCAGCTTTTTCTAAGCTTCAAAGAGCTGACTTCAAAGATAGACTTTCAAGCACAGAGAGTCTGCCTGTTGTTAGAGGTCATATATATTCTACATTCCTAAAATTTCCTCAGAGTTTAGAGAGTTTTCATTCCACTTTGAGAGACCAAGACAGGCTTCCCCACTCCCTGCATTACACAGAAGGGAGAATGATCAGTGGAGCTTTGCCACTGAGCTGAGCTGCCTCTGGGTCCTTATCTGAGTTCTTATCTCTCATTTGCACACAGAAGTATCCCCTTCACCTTTCCAGGAAAACACAAAATGCCTTTGTAGAATCATCTACTTATGCTTAAAATATAAGGAAAGCCTCTTTACCAAATGGTACTGGAAAAACTGAAGAGCTAGAGTAAAATTCCACTATTGTCTCATATCATGCACAAGTCAGCTCAAAATAGATTGAAGATGTATATGCTAGACTCAAAATTTATAAAATACATTTATAAGAATATAAGCCAAAAACTACATCATATTGACTTTAAAGGTGTCTTCAGTTGTTCAACTCTTCTGGCAAAGAAAACAAAAAAAAAAGCAAAAGTAAATGGGATTACAACAAACTTAAAAGCTTCCACAATATAAAAGAAACTGAAACAAAAATAATCCTACTACTGAATGGGAGAAAATATTCACATACATACATCTGACACAGGAATAATAAATAAATAAATATATATAATGGGACTCACAAAACAAAAAGTAGCAATCCCATGCCTACAAATGGTGACAAGAGCTGAATTGACACTTCTACAAAGATGACAACACATGGCCAATAGACACATGAAAAAAACTAATCATCACTTGATTTGCATGCTTTGACTATCAAAGAAATACAAATAGAACAATGAGAAATCACTTCATAACGATGAGATGGTTTATATTATTTAAAAAGTAAAAGGAAATAATGAATGCTGGCAGGGATGCAGAAGGAACCCTCATTCAGTACTGCTGGAAATGTTAGCTGGTCCAGCCTCTAAGGGAAACAGTATGGATAGTTCTCAAAATATTAAAAGTAGAGCTACCATATGATTGCTATCTAACCCAAGAACAAAAAATATTAAGTATAAAAGACATGCACACATTTGTGCTCATTGCAATACTACTTACAAAACCCAAAATTTGGAAACAACCAAATACCCAACAACAGATGAGAAAGAAGTGGTAGAATGGTACTCAGCTGTAAGAAAAGAGGAAGTTTGCCATTTGCTATGACCTGGAAGGCCTAGACGTTACCATGTTAAGCAAAGTAATTCAGAAAGGAAAGATAAATGTGTGGTTAAAAAAAGAAAGAGCAAGGAAACTGTAGTTTCCCAAAGTGTGGACTATTGCTCCCTGGGGGTGCTAGAACAGTTGGTGGGGGGTGGGGGTGAGGGGTGTTGCAGTCTGGTGCAACTGGGGAACACTTTTTGTTTATTTCCTTAAAGAAGGTAGACTTTCAGGGGATCACTGCATGATTAGTGTTTTGAAAAGTAACTGGCAGACCCTGTAAATTTGGGTACCTCTGGAATCAAAAATAAGCAATGCAAACAGAATGGAAGTTATTAAGAGGGTAGAGAGTGGATGGGAATTATCTTGTGGGTAATAGTGATGTGATATTGGCATTTTGCTGGTATGGTATGGTAACATTTTGCCACTAAAATATGTAAACATTTACCCTCTGAGCCAAAGAGATAGTACAGGAGTTAAGGCACACGCCTTGCATGCAGCAACTCTAGTTCCATCTCTGGCACAGCATATAGTCTCTCTAGCACCACCAGGCATGATCCCTGAACACATAACCAGGATTAAGCCCTAAGCACGCTGGTTAGAGCACTGTAGCACTGAAGCACTGTCCTCCCATTGTTCATCAATTTATTCGCGCAGGCCCAGTAATGTCTCCATTGTGAGACTTGTTACTGTGTTTGGCATATCAAATACATCATGGGTAGCTTGCCAGGCTTTGTTGTGTGGGTGAGATACTCTCGGTAGCTTGCCTGGCTCTCTGAGAGGGGCGGAGGAATCAAACTCGGGTTGGCCGAGTGGGCCGCGTGCAAGGCAAACACCCTACCCACTGTGCTATCACTCCAGCCCGCTGGTCACCACCCAAAAATTAGAGCAAAAAGGAAAAAAAAAATTTACCCTCTAGTAAGCCCATGGAAAATCAACTTAAGGAAAAAAAGAAAATTAAAAACAAAACAATTGAAATTTAAGCTGAGCTATTTGAAATTAATTACATCACAGAATATTCAAAGGCAGTTTCTACAGACTGAAAGAAAAATTGTGAACAACTGACAAAACCTATCAAAAAATGTAGAGAACACTTCAGTCCATTAATAAGAAGACAAAGTACCAATTTTAAAATGGGTAAAGAATTTGACTACTGACATCACCAAGAAGAGATACTTTGGAAAATAATGCCACTCCCCCCCCAAATTTCAGCATCTCAGTTATTTAATAAATGCAAATTAAAACCAGAACAAGATGCCACTATACACCATAAAAATGGCTACGATGAAAGTTTTCACAATACTCAGTGTTACTGATGCTATAGATTCACTATTATATGTTGGTGAATGTAAAGCAGTTATTTTTCAATTGCATTGAAAAACAGTTGAGCAAATTCTTTTCCTTTTAATTATTTTTTAATTTTTTGAGTCACTGTGAGATACACAGTTACAATGCTCTTTATGACCAGGTTTCAGTCAGATAATGTTCCAACACCCATCCCTCCACCAGTGTCTGTTTCCCACCACCAATGACCCAGTGAACCCAGTTTCCTTCCACCACCCCTCTCTCTTCTCTCTCTTTCTCTCTCTTTCTCTCTCTCTTGAGCAGCAGATTCTTAAAATGTTAAAAATTCACAATCCAATCACACTATTCTAAATATATGCATAAGAGAAATTGATATCAATTGTTACATACAAATATTTCTAGTAGCTTTGTTTTGTAATATCAAAAAGCTAAAATCAACTCATATTCCAGAAGACAATCAGTTAATAAAATTTGCTAGATATAATAGAATTCTATATAATAGAATTTTCCTTTGGAATGGAATAAATTGATGCAATGATATAAATGAATCTTAAAACAAAAATGCTAATGAAAGAGGCAGGTAAAAAAGGTGCTACCTGTATAAAATTATATATATGTGTATATATGTATATATATACAGTTCCAGAAAATGTATTCTTAGCTACTTGACAAAGTAGATCATCAGTTAGGTACTGAGAAGAAATGAGAGAGAGACAGAGAGACACAGAGAGAGGGGGGGGGGAGGGAGGGAGATTTAGAGGAAACCCAGTGAGATTTGAAAGGGATCAAATATTGTTTAAATTAATTGTAAAGGTTTCATACAGTTTGAATTGTGTAGTATAAATATATGCATCAGGGGCCAGAACGATAGCACAGTGGGTAGAGTGTTTACCTTGCATGTGGCCGACCCAGGTTCAATCCCCGGCATCCCATATGGTCCCCCAGCACCACCAGGAGTAATTCCTGAGTGCAGAGCCAGGAGAAACCCCTGAGCATCGCTGGGTGTGACTCAAAAAGCCAAAAAAAATAAATGTGCATCAGCTTTACTACAATAATGTTATACTTGAACATAAAAGTATAAGAATGATGCAGTAATGAATATTGTATTCTTTTCAGAACAGTATTTTTGTAAGACAATAAATCCTTTTAAATTCTTAAGATGTCACTATTTGCTCACATTTTTTCACATTTTTTTCAGTATCTCTTTTTCAGTATGTTATTTTACTATTATTTTTCCCTTCCTTTCTCTTTGTTCTTGCTGCAGTATGTACAGGTTGCACTTGACTTTGGAGCTCATACATCTGGCTATATTTCACCATAGATAGCACACACTTGGTTGCAGTGCTTGTACCCTTTGTTGTGTTGCACCTGTCTGTGGTGCAGGAATCAGAACAGACCAGAAAAGCTGGAATTTGCACTTGGAGATGTGGGGTGATTCCTGGGATCAAACTCTTGGTCTCTGTGGCCTTCTCCAAGGCAGGTGGCCACTCACATGGCCGCAGTTACATTTCCCACTCCCAGCACTCTGAACTTTCATCCCAGCCTTTATCACCTAATTCTGTGGAAAAAAAATCCTGACTACCTCAAATACAATACAACAATAATCCATTGGCCTACTCCAATTCTAACAAAAGACCAGTACACAAGAAGCTGTACAAGCCCAATTTAAAGAGCACCTCCTCCTAAACTTCACTAGATGCGTGTCGTAAGCCAAAGAATAATGCCTGAGAGGAAGGTTAGACTCTAGAAAGTGAGAAGGGTGACCACCATCGACCAACCTTATCCAGAAATCTTTCCCATGGTAAGAGGGAACAGTGCTAGTGAATTCTAGGGTTTTACCACTAGATAACCAAAACAACATGAAGAAACGGCGCAAATTTCCACTACAAGGAGAAGATGAAGAAAAGAGTCCCGAATCCTCAACCGTGATTACCCACAAATATGCTGTTTCTGATAAAGAAT